TACCATCTGCATTACATTGTTCATGAACCTAAAGAATTTGGAAAACATTTAGACCTAAGGAATTTGGAAACATTTTAAGAATAAAAGATTGATATGCACCTACCATTAAGAAGGAAGCCAGGATATTTGCAAATACTAAGGCTTGCCTACATACAGAAACTCACTACACATCTCCAGTCTCCAGACAAGTGCCTGAATGTCTGCTCGGGGTCAAGGAAACAAAGAACATCCTGAAATTGTCTGCTCGGGGTCAAGGTGCTATCTTGTATTGTTTTGCAAAGGAGCATCAGGATGCCCCATTGCCTATGGAATGTGTGAACATCTCCAAGGCCATGATGGCTCACAATTAACAGGGCAATTAGATTAATTGCTGTAGTTTATAATTTCTATGGCTTTATCGAAATGTATGGGACCAAAATGGTATAAAACAAGGCCAGGAGCTTCATTTCAGCACTGACTCTCAGAGATCCAGAGAAGGCTTTGCCTTCCGTGATCTATTTGGACCAGTCCAGAAAGCTTTCTGTGCATGGGGAATCTTTGTTTATATATATAACCACGGACTGTCTTTTTTCTTATGAAGTAAGTATTCTGTTTTATATTGCTTGCATGTCTCTAGCTAATAAACTATTTTATTGTTTAAATAACCTTGTGTTGCATTCCAGCTAACTTTCCTTTTACATTCTACCCGCCTTGGTAAGGGGCACACACCAGACCATTACGAATCTAGAGGGGGGGTGCAGGTAACACTATACAGGGTTAGTTTAGACAAGTGCACAGGGTGCATTCTTACAACAGAGGGAAATTGTTATAGAACAGATCAGCAACTGCTCTCCACAATTGGAAATGCTGTTCACTGGAGGAACTACATGGCTGGATAGAAGCCATTCTTATGACCCTTGACCATTTTCTATTCCATGGTTCTAATGAAATAAATGGAAGCTTTATGAAATTAGATCTGGAAGCCTATTTATGAAATTATATTTTTGTTATAAACCTAGGTGCAAGGCTTTAGGCAATGGCAGTGCATTTCCATAATATTTTTATTGCTTATGTGTCCAAGATCAATTTTCCTTGGAACTGTGTGCTTTCTTATGTAACATGAATAAAAATGTCATTACTTATATTATTGAGTAATATTCAAACAGAAGCAAAGTGAATTGAAGTAAAATTTTAAATTAGCAGACACATGCATGAACAGCATTATGCTCAGGTCATTCCATATTTCCATATTTAAAATATCTTTGAAATAAAACTATTCATGCCTAAAGAATGGATATATAAGAGTTTCACTGTTTTGTTATTATACTGACCATGGAACATGAAGTAATAGTATCAAGACAATAGGCTTATTCAAATTTACAAATGAGGTGACTGGGCAACTGTGACCTAAGATAATGAAACAGAGAAAGCTTCTTAGATGAAAAAAAAAATGTAACCAGTGATAAATAAAGCTGGTGTTTGAAACATCCAATTTTGTAGCAAAGGTAAGTGCATCACAGAGATGGCTAACAAAAAAGCTAGCCAATCTGAATATTATCCCAGTTGCAGCAAAGAAAATAAGGAAAATATCCTGAATTTATAACCTCTTAATATTATATATACATGTTAAAACTTACACTTGTTGTATAAGCTGCCTCAGGGTCATCTTCTAACACACGGGATAATCCAAAATCGGAGACCTTACACATGAGGTTGCTGTTGACCAAAATATTCCGAGCTGCCAAATCTCGATGTACGTAGCCCATGTCTGAGAGATATTTCATGCCAGAAGCAATCCCACGTAGCATGCCAACCAGTTGGATGACAGTAAAATGGCCATCATGTTTCTGCAAGAAAGATAAGGGAGTCAAGTTAAAGTAAATTTACATTTTCAAGTTCTGCCAGTTCAAATCAATGTACATTTCTAAAATGTCTAACCTCTGAGACCACAATGATATCTTTCTAATCCAAGCAAGTCTCTCAATAACCTTACAATGACTTCTGGCACTTCTACAGTTTGCCCATTTTTAATATTTCACTGACCTTTTTCTATTATGCAGTTAATTCTTCTTTTTCCCTTTTGTTGTACTCCGGAACTTTTGTCCCATTACTAATACTTTTGCCATTCAGATGGAGGGAAAAACTCGAAAGCAAGCTGGGTTTCTTCACCATTTCTATAACACTTGCTGGTAATACTGGAATAAGTTAGAGTACCTTGATGTACTTTTCATAATGTAATTGCTTAGGTATATAGAAACTCTGTACAGCATAATTTTATTTTTGTTTTTCCTTCCTCTTTTTCATGGAGTAATCTAATTTCACTCAACAATGGTCCATAGTGAAACTGAAGATTTCTAAAACTCCTTAACCCTGCACTGCTCCTTCAGTCCTTTTTTGTTTGTACAGGAGAGGTAGAATTACGTCAGTTCAGATGGGAAATGATGGCTTCTGGACTTATTTGCATGAAAGTTAGTGAATTCTGCTTTTTCTGACAATCACATTTAAATAATCACAAGAGGGGGACCTGCGATACTCACGCGGGGGGGAGAAGAGCTCCGTCTCCTCCATCCCCCCTCAATCTCCCTTAGGCTGCGGCGGCGAGGCTGGTCCTCCACCCCCCACCCCACCTGGCTCCGACCCGGCCGGGCTCCGCGGCGGTGGTGGTGGTAGCAAGGCCGGTCCTCCCCCTGCCCGGCTCCGAGGCGGCGGCGGCAGCGGAGAGGCCGGTCCTTCCCCCCCTTTGCCAGGCTCGGCGGCGGCGAGGCAGGGTCCCCCCCGCCCATCCGCCCACCCGGCTCCGAGGAGGGGGATTTAAACATCCCCCCAAAATTTTTTTCAACTTTTTCGATTTTTGTGCACACGTGGGGACTGGCCCACGTGTACACAAACCTCCCCACCCACGTGTGCACAAACCTCCCCCCCCCAAGTGCCCCCGGAGCGCTGATTTAGCGATCCGCACTCAGGGGGCAACTTGGCTATTAGATATATAGATAGTCAGTGCCTGTATAGACTCATCTATAGAATTCTGAAGCACGCATGATTATAGTGACAGAATCAGTAGAGGGGCCTACTGATGGCTTGAAGGATGTTGGGGAATGTTGGAGTTGGAAAAAGTTGGGAAGTAAGTGAAAAGGAGAACTGGTTTCTGTATGGGAGATGCAGCAGTGCAATGTTCAGGAGAATGTTTATCTACTAAAGCAGCTTGCAGATTATACATGCAGTGCAATATGGGAGTAATTCTAGGGCATATGTTCCACCATTGAATGTAGACCACTGTAACACTGCACTTCTCTGGGCTTCACAGTCCAGTGGATCAATCTACAATGTTTACCATTCAGCTTCTAACAACCAGTTCTAAAGCAATAATGTGATAGCACCTAAAAATCTGTTATATAAATAAGCTCTTACAAATTCCACTACCATACCTGTCAAATAAGACAATAAAAAACATGAATGTGTGCTGCGTTAAAAGGATTCATTTCTTAAATCTGTAACAGTCTTTTAATGAAAGATGAATACCTCAGAAACAGGGAGGGGGAATCTTAAATAATAGATATGCTCTTGTCCAAAGTTACACAGTTAGTAAATCTCAGTGGAAACAGAGTTGGAAAGAAAGCCCAATGAGAAAAAACTCTTATTAGCTCTTATCTTACTAATCCATTTCTGGATATGGAAGTGTTTCCTCAAGGACTGTCTTGGATATGAACAGTACTTGTAACAAAATCAAGACTTGAGAAAAATTTGCAACTGTCCACAAAAGTTATTTTGTTATAATAACTTTTAAAAGTTACTTTAAAAAACTGTTAAGATCACTTCAATTGTAGCATAATTGTTAGTCCATGTATTAATGTCCTGAATGTATTTTTAATGTAATTTCCTCAATAAAACTTCAAAAAATAAAATAAAAATAAAAGGCTGTTCCTTTTGTCTACGAAACCCAAACATATTGACCATGGTTCACTCATTCTGCTTCACAAGATAATAAGAAGTATCCTGCTGGATCAGACAATGTTCTGCCTAGACCTGTTTTCCTCCTTGGCCAGCCAGATGTCCTGGAAAGACCACAGGTATACTGCTTCTGAAAATGGAGGTTCCACCAAACTTTTACAGCTAATAGGAACTAGAAATCTAGAAGACCTTCTAGAAGTCTTATCTGAATTGTTGGGCATTACCACATCTTGTGGCCAAGGCTGGATTAAGACATGTTGAGGCCCTATGCCATGTCAAGTTTAAGAGGCTCTAGTCTATAGCATTTTTTTGTTAAAAAAAGGTAATTCCATAAGTGTAGGGGCCACGTTTCCTTTCCTTTTGGGGGGTATTTAGAGATCTCTAATATTTTGATGCCCTAAACTGTGGTTTACTTAGCTTGTACACAAATCCAGCACTGTCTATGGCAGTGAGTGCCATAAGTTAATTCTGTAGTTGCCCTGACCTAGCCTGGTCTTGTCAGATCTCAGGTGCTAAGGAAGGTCAGCCCTGGTTAGTACTTGGATGGGAGATCACCAAGGAAGTCTGGAGTTGTTATGCAGATCAGCTGTGATTGATGGCAGATAAAATAAAATAAATGAACGGTACTTTCTTGCAGTTGTTTTGAATCGAATGCCCATCAGTTCTTGAAATTTGGGGAGGGGAGTTTTCTTTCTATTTTCTTCACACTGTGCACAATTCTATAAACCTTTTCTGTGTCCACACTTTCTTGTACTTTTAATAAACTTTAAAAAAGGCTGTTCAGGCTTTCCTTGTAGGGTAGGTGAACCAACCCCTTGATCACTTTGGTTACAATTTTCTACATCTTTTTAAGCTCTATGATAGCCTTTTAAATAAGGGGTGGCCTGAACTGTACAAGTATTCCAACTATAGCTATACTATTACAGTAGATGTTTTATTTTCAATTCCCTTCCAAATAACCCTTAAATTGTGGTCGTTTTCATCATTATTGCACACTACGTTATAATTTTAATCAAACTATCCACCAGAACTCCAACTTTTTTTTCCTGATCAGTCCCTGGCAGTTCATATCCTATCAGTATCTAGACATAAGTTTAGAATTTTTGCCCCATTGCACATCACTTTACATTTACCACCATCTTATATCCAAATCTACCTGTCATTCTACACAATATCATGGTCTGACACATATTTCCCCCCCCCCTTTGTATCTATTAAGGGTTCTGGAAAATGCAAATGTTTGAATACTTTATTGTGTTATTTCAACATAACATGGCTATTGTTTCATAGCAAGATAGCTACCTTCACCCTCTGGTTAATTCGATGTAATCTGCATGTTAGACTGTTCATTGGTCACTCCTGATTCTAGATCACTTATGAAGAAATTAAATACTAATGTAGACTCCCGGGGAACCACTATGAGACGTTCCTTTACTCCTACCCTCTGTTTCAAGCAGAATGTTGGACTAAATGGACAGTTACTAATGGACAGTTACCAATTCATAAGACTGATCCTCTTATCCCAAAACTGGTAAATTTACTGTGGAGCATTTGTTGATGGGCTTCCTCAAAAGATTTTTTGGCAGCCTAAGTACATGTCTCCCAACTCACCCTTACCCACATGCTTTTAACATTCTAGGATAATTTCAAAAGGTTGGTGAAACAAGACTTCCCTTTTCAAGAGCTATATTGATTCTTCTTGCCTGTAATATTCCAATAATGTTTTCCTATGAATGGCCAGTAATTTTCTAGATCTCTTTTTAAAGACTGACATTACATTTAATATACTCCAGTCTTCCAATAGGGAGGGCAATTTGGTTGTGGTGAGAAGAGCTGTTTGATCTGATATTGTTGCTTCTCCCCTCTGTATTTAAAATGCTCATTCATATAGCATCATCCCTATCCCTATCCCGTTCAGCAGTTGTTGCCCCCTATTCTCATGCTCAGCTTTCCTGACACCAGTCCAGTCTTTACAGATTCAACTGGTTTCACTGTGCACTTCTGGATATCTGAACTCTCTCTTGTGAACTCAAGCTATCTGATCGCACTTTTCTGTCTTCACACCACCACACAGCTTTGTCCCCCCACCATTTTAAAATTCAGTTAGTGATATGTGCATAAGCTGATCTTTGCCCCAGGGCTGTGAATCACCACTTATATGTTTCTGCACCCAAACATTCTGTCAGGATTGGGAGCTCCCAGGGGAGTTGTTTTTGAGCAACAAATCCCCCCCAAACCCATCTCTCCTGTTTCTTGGGGTTGGAAAGCCGTGGAAATAGCCCCTAGTTAGGCTTCTGGGAGTTGGAAAGCCGTGGAAATAGCCCCTAGTTAGGCTCCCATATAGACAGGGAACCTGGGGAGGCTGGCATCACTAATTCAGGGAGACTTGGGTAAAGCTGGAAAAAAATTAAAAATCCAGGCAGCCTTGCTTCTGAGCAAATTTGGGCTGAATATCTGTCCCAAAAGTGTGAGCAGGGCTTTCTGGACCTTGGCGAAAGTGGTAGTGGTGGTGGATGTGAACCAGACTACAGAAATCAGTTCCCCCGGAGAAAACAAATGCTTTGGAAGGTGGACTGCGTGGCATTGCACCCCACTGAGGTCCCTGTCCTGCCCAGACTCCATCCCCAAATCTCCAGGAGTTTCCCTGCCTGGAGCTGGCAACCCTACTCCCCATCCCACTTTTTTCTGCTTCAGAGTTGCTGTTTGGGAGCATCCCACGATTGACACAAGATTAAATGTACTGACGTCAATGAGACTACTCTCATGTAAATCTGCATTCCCCCATGCATTCCAAGGAAGAGAAGCAAAGTGGAGGAGGCTGAGAGGGGCCGCAGTAGTTGGTGGAGGGATTGCGGAGCTGTCAAAATGGAGTGGTGCTTTGAATGAGTGCTTCTGTGCA